GCCTTAGTAGCAAGAAGCCTTTTTTCCGTCAGCATAGCTTAAGTCGAGAAAAGCTATCTGTCAGAGAAGACTTTTTGAGTTTGGTTTCATTCAGCTCGAGGTCATATCAACCACATTGTGGAGTCAAGAGATTACTTTCCAGTCGAATTTTTAGACAAGGTCTTTAAACCGAGAAGAAGACCAAAGTGGACTACAACGAGAAGCCACATTCTTATTCAAATCATTTCAAGATGGACTCGACTTCGCGACGGAGGAGTCATCCACAATTCAATTCGACAATGAGTTATTCTTCAACTCCACTGAACGAAAATTTGTGTCTTTTTATCTTTGTCCTATTTTTCGTTCCACGAAAAAGGACAAAGAGGGGCAGCTATAGACACCCATTTTCTTAAAAGATAGAACTAGCAAGAGTTCCTCTCCTAGGAGGACTCTTCCACCACCTTATCTTTTAAAGCAACAACCACACCAACAAACGTGCAACAACCGAGCAAGGAGTCTAGTTGCATTAGGATTCTATTGTTAATAAGATTCTAAAAATAGTTAGTTTTTTTTCACTATAAATACATGTAATCCTCCCCATTTGTAACATGATTTACATACAAAATACAAAAGAAAGCACGAAAAATACAAAGGCAAAGCTATTGTAAATGATTCGAAAAGGAAATAAAAAGATAACATCTTTTTTACTTTTGATTCGGTCTCTTACATTTACGTTTTAATTATTATTATTTTATTTTTTTAACTTTATTTATATTCACATTTCTCTTGTTACTCATTTTATTTAATTGTTTTGTTATTTTTCTTTTTTTTCATGTAATATTGTTTTACATTTTATGCATTTTCTTTTTTACTTTAGTATATATATATATATATATTTTTAGATTATATATATATATATATATATATATTATTTTTTTTATTATCAGTTTTATTAATTTATATATATATATATATATTTACTATTTTTTATTTTTTATTTTTTATTTTATATATATATATATATATATATATTATTTTTACTTTTTTATTATTATTTTATTTATTTGTTTTATTTATATATTTTTTTCTTCTTTTTCTTTATTTTTTATTTTTTTATATTTATTTTACTTACTATTTTATCTTTGCTTTCTTTATCTTATCTTTTATTTAATTTATTTTTTCTTCATTTTAATTTAATTTATTTATTTATTTATTTATTTATTTCTTACCTTTTTTTCTAACATGGTTTTTTGACCTTCTTAAGGCCACACCTTTAAAAACTATCTAAGGTAAGTAATTGTGATCGTATTTTTACTTTTTAATTTTAAATTACAATTTTCTTAATTTAAGACAACCGGCAAATTAATTGGTACCGAAAGGGCGGTTCAAGGGTGCTAATCCTTCCTTGACCGTAACCGACTCCCGAACCTGACACATTTATGGTAAAAACGCAGATCAGGTAAGATGGTCTCCGACCCACCTAAATTCGTTTTAAAGTAGTCGGTGGCGACTTCCAACCCAATTATTTTAAGTCGAAGCCCAATTTGGGGCCCAACCGAAAGACGATTACGACAATATACAATTACAAATTGCAATTCAACATTCGCGAAAGACAAAAATAATTAATCCAAAAATAAATATTGATCTGATTTGAACTCAATTCGTATCTGATAAAGATCCGACCTGAATTTTATCTGTCAATGATGTCACCCGATCTGAACAAGGTCATCCTGAAGTACATTCAAACATGAATTAACTTGGTCTTTATCTGCTCTGAACCTGAACTGTTTTGACCTGCACTGACATCGATTCAAATTGAAAGTAACCAGACCTGAACCTGAATTGTACCTAGTGTCAAATCAACCTGAAAATGATTCGACCTAGACCCGACCTGATCCGAGTCGAAACATCAAATTTACCTGACTTGACTTGTATCCGATTTTACTCGACATGACATGATCCGACTGAAACCTGAACGTTTACCCGATTTTATATCCATACTTTGATGTTAGTTTGTCGTTAGTATGTCTTGATTGTTTTGCCATTTAAATTGTTGGGTTCTAGGTTTGTTTTGTTGAAATTTTCTTAAACGCTTTGTTTTGATACTATCATAGGTACTCTTTTCTTCCTACTAGGCTTAGAGGATTTTAATGAAGCCTATGGTAGTATCACCTCTTTACAAAAAAAAACACATATAATATGAAATACCTTATCCTTCATCACATTAATGGGTATCAATCTTATAATTTACCCTTAAAAAATTATTTTAATCATTAATGTTTTAAGGGTAAATTATAAATTTGGTAATTGAACTTTTTCTCTCTTACTTCACTTATTGTACTTTAAATCTTTTCAATTTCTCACTGAACTTAATACATTGAGTTTTTTTTGTCACTCGATCGTTTTCTTACTAACTACATTATAAATAGGTTGTTCTATAGATGCAAAAATGATATCATTTTGGTGAAACTTTTATTTTTTAAAATGGCATCATTTTAACATCGTTAACTATTTAACGGAGGAGTGACAGAAAAAAGCTCAATGTATTAAGTTCAGTGAGAAAATTGAAAACTTTTAAAGTTCAGTGAGCAAAACGGGAGAGAGAGTGAAGTTTAGTGATGAAATTTGTAATTTACGTGTACATGATGAATGAAAATCCTTCCGTTTTCATATGCCTTTTAAAAGAATGGACGAGATTCACCGAACAACATAAATTTTTCTTCATAATTTAGATATCAGTGGATGCAATATTATTTTGTTCCTCAAGCATATAGTGTATAAGCAAATGCAAAGCATCATGAATTGATAGCAGGAGATAAAAAGATAATCATTTTGATTCTCTCACGCATTTTCTCTTGGCACAAAAGGGTGGCGGAGGCTTTCTCTCTCTCTCTCTCTCTCTCTCATTTCGATCGGCAGAAATCAATAGAGCTAGCAATAGCACCATGTGGACTGTTTTATTGATTTATTATTATGCTTTTTCTTCTTAGCCATAAGAGTCAGTAAAGGGCCGAGGGTTAAACGAATAGGTAGGTCATAGCGCCACTTTACAACAGTTGCACTTACTTTGTAGGTGGGTCCAAAATGAACCCAGTCCGTTTGCTGTGGATGTGAGGGAATTAAGGGCAACAACAAACTCCAATCACTTTTACTTTAATATCATCACGCCACACGGAACTATCACTTTAACATGCATGCGCGTCTTCTTTCTCGCCCCCCATATGTTCCCCATGCATGTTTTTTTCCAACAATCCCTTTGTTAATCAAACTTGACATATCCGTTTTTTGCTTGCTTTTGAAAGACACTGCAAACTTTATTGTAGAATGCAGCATAGAAATATATTGCCAACTTTATCATTATATTTTATGATATCATTGTACATTATAAATCTGTCTATAATTATGGATTTTAAATTCAAAAAGGATGTGTTCGAAACTCTGCCAAAAATGTAGCTGATCTGATCCGGACCGGAAGGAAGCTCAAGATAATATGCAAACTTAATGTTCCTTTCATGCTCAATATTATAAAAAAAACAAAAAAAAATAATATAAAGTAATGAATCAAATCCTTAAGCTTTTTTGATATATTCAACTCCCAAAAAGTCAACAGTTACATTCCATAATAGTGAAGTTATAAGTTAACACATTGGTAAAGCAAATTTGATCTCCCCATTTCCCTTTATACTTTTGTTTTTGCTTAGGTTTGCAGATTGTTGTTGATCATCGATTTTCTTAGCCACCAATCTTTATCTGTAAATTTTTTATGTGCTTAAAATCCAATATTTACTATGATTGTGATTTGTAGATTCCATTTCCAAATTTTCATTGATTTGATTGGTAATATTATGGTAATAATATATTATTATTATTATTATTATTATTATTATTTTATTAAAACGTAACCCAAACAATATCATTGACTAAAATAGTATCTTTTTGACAAAAGTATGTTCACATTGAAGTGTCTTTTGAAAATTTTATTTTGGAGGACGTGTCTTTACCGACACAATAAATCATCCGAGTGATTTTTCTCACGTTAACATCATTTATGGTCAAAATGAAAGAAATGAAGAATAATTGATCAAAAACATAAAAATCTATACAAATTTTATTAAAAAAAAATGCTCGCAATATATGACAACAATAATTAATAGTGTTGGTTCAGAGTGATTGTCGAAATCTAAGTTGGTTCCGGAACAAGAGAGGAAGAAGAAAGAAGAGAGAAAATGGAAGGAATCATTTTTTAGCTTCTATAGGAATTTAAAATGACATTGTTTTGATGGTTTTTTTGTAAATATCTAAAATGATGTCATTTTGGTGTGTCATTCTTGCATCAGTTATGTCATCACACCATTCATGATTTAACACTCAAGTGAGCAAAATATGAGCAATGTCAAAATTGAGTGAAAAAACTAAAAATTTTGAAGTTCAATAACCAAAACAAAAATGAAAAGGAGGTTGAGTGATGAAATTTATAATTTTCCCATAAACAAATACCAGAAATATAAAGAAGAATGGGCTAAAAGGAGACCAAAAACTTCCACATTATGTGCAATGAAGTCAAAACAATCGCCTCTATCTCATAAAGCAGGCCTGCATTGTAATGGCAAAAAGGATGACACATTACTATAAATGGCTTTCCTCTGGCAAAGCGTAGTAGCTTTAACCTTATGAGCAGGATCAAAGATGTCGAAAGTTAGCCGAGGTTATGGATGTTGAGTAGGTCTTTGTCGAGTTTGTTCAGGAAAAGGACTGTTTATTAGCCTCTGCACTTCCTTTCCCTTGAGTTTGATCTCACATTGACACTGGTATAGGGCTAAGATGGGCACAAATGTAACAATAGGAGGATGATATACAATGTTTACATCAAACTATCTTAGTAAAGGTGGAAAAAAGAGCACATCCTACTTGGCATGAAACAACTTTGCTTCATCTTCTCTCACATGAAATCCATTTCTAAAGCAGCAACTATGAACAATCATCTGATTCTACATACTGTGTTTCCATATCCAAGGTCCTTTGACTGCAAATTGAGATAATATTCAGGGGTGGTTTTGAAGTTGGAGAGGTTAATCAGTATCTGAGACGTGTCTCATAAACCTCGTGTGAAGTCCATGTTATAGCAAGTGGGATTGCAGGGGTAAGGGCAGTCGATCTCCTTCGATGATTTACGGCCGAAGTACCAATCACCCACAGACTCTGCAATGGTCTTGTTTCAAAAACAACTAAGATGGTTAATAATGATTAAATATCAACTGTTTTTAATTTCAGATAATCATGAAGGGTCCTGAAAACTATCATTTGATATCCATAATAGAGAACAGGTTGAATATTAAAGCATTGCTAACCTTATTGTTGATTCTTGGAGAATTGGGTTAATGCCATGCCTCAGCCATCCAATTTTGGCAATGAACAAAGCACGAATTTATAAACATACCCCCTTCCTTGTCTTTCTCAAGCTTACTTAGTGCTTCAAGCAGGGGACTACGGAAGCCTATACGTCAGAAGAAAAAAAGAAATCAGGCCAACCCACAACATAAGAGTTGCTTCAATGCTTGGAAATTATAATTGCAAGAAACATCTCTGATTTCGATGTTGTGCAAAGTAGATTGGGTACATATCACACATCTAACTACCTTGTAGTGTTTCAGTCTGGGTAGAATCACACTCCTGAATGGTCAATCTGTATCTTCTCCCGTAGCCATGAGGATCTGATCCAGCAGGGACTAAGTTATGTTGTATCTAATGATTATCCAGTCGGTGTTAGAGCCTATAAATAGAAAGGAAATAGTATTATGTCATTACCAAATACTACCATTTGAATGAATTACCTGCGAAAAATCATAGGCGGGGTTGACGATGAACAATGGAGTCCTAACGTTTTCGATAATTTCTTGAGGAAAGATGCACTGGAAGAGCAATCAACAACAGATGATGGCAGGTAAATGCTGTGATTCAAAATTGTTTAACTTCAACAGCAAAGGAGAAAAATGATCAAATATAACAGTGATATGGATGCCAAAGGGAAACAAGAAACAAATAAAAGACAAGCAAAAACCTGCCTTGGATGGCTCCATTCTTCTGACACATTTCTTGTGCAAACGTTTTGCTACACCCTGACATGTATGAAGAGTAGAGATGAACTTCAAAAATCGTTTTGTAACCAAAGAATTATATTTTTTTTCGAATTGGCTATTCGAAGGGTAAGTATCTCATTGCTTTATTGCTAAAGATTACTTGGAGTACTTTCATCTATTTTGTTTGGAAAGAGGAGGAAATTTTGTCTTGTAATAAGAAGGTTCTGTGTATAGAACTTTCTAGGAAGGATATTAATAGGAGTGATCTTGTTCATTTCCAATTATGTATAGTACGGGGTATACTTGACTGAGTATCAAGTTCTTATTGGTACTCTATCTCATTATAGTAGTGTATTGTTTTCTTTTTGAATATAATATTAATAATTTATCTAAAATAAAATCTTACATTCGTCTTTAAAATATCAGGAATGCACCTCCAATTATGTTTTTCTGACTTTTTAGACGAGGATGTGATTGAACTTGACACACCTCAAAAGAAAATTAAAAGAAAGCGATCAAAATCTTCTTAGAAGTGTAAAATCATGATGATAAAAGGTTGCCTAACAGGCTACATAGGTTGTTTTGTTGGAATTCTGACATTTTCAATGCCCTAGTCACTTGCAAGAGACGCAACATAGTGGACAGCATCACTTTGTGTACTCGAATAATAAAAAAAAGTCTGAAACAAGAAGTCCCATCTGGCAATATGGCCAAGGCCTCAAAGTGAGGGAATCTATGCAATGCAACAGACCAGCAGAATATCTGGACCCAGATTACCATCACATTACATGCATGCATACATACATTCTTCTATGGAGGATATGATGAAGGGCAGAACTTTAAGGCTTAATTGTTTTGCAAACTGCCAAGCCTCTGATACGTGCAAAATTGCTAAAAACCAAGCCTGAATCTCCAAATTAGTCTTGTTTTTGTCCTCCAAACTGTTGGCCCTTTTATCTTCCCATGTTCCTTGTCTCCCATCCCATGCATGCATGATGCGTCAATGGCTAGCCTTTTTTTTTATTTCTTCTCTCTTCTTTTACATTACTTTTCAGTTCCAATGCAAAGAATGAATCTCTCTGTGCATATAGGCCTTTTTATAATCATTAAATTGAACGGCCTGGTAGTAATTGGAACTTGATATTGGGTTAATGATGATGAATCGATAGCAATATTTGCTTTAAGGAACTCTCTTGGAAGCAAAGCAGTTAGCCCTAGGTGTGTACTTGATACTTGACATCACTTTTCTCCCACCTTTCTTCCGAAATAAAACATACACACGCATAAAGGTCCAATAAAATAAAGCATTCCCATGCAAAACCCTTCAAAGGAACCATGTCTTTGATTTGCTAGGGGTGGTCCAATAACATAAACTAGTTGGGGTCTTGGGTGTGCCAAATGTCAGCCTTTTTTAAGAAAGTGTAAACCCCAAACTTGAAAAAAAATGGAGATCTGTGGGGTTTGATTGGAAAGATGTAAATAAAAGCTATAGGGAATTTGAAATTGGGAGAGATGATTGTGAGGGCAAGGGACATGCATGATGGTTGGCAATGGTGGCAAAAATCATTCTCCATGTGCCTTTGACATCCAATTATTCTCCATGTAAAACAATCTGATGATGAAAACCATGCACTCAAGCATGAGATTAATTTCACTTTCTTCTCCCCAATTTATCATATCTTTTTTTTTATAGTTTTTTTTTTTTTTTGCGGTTTTGGAGCAGCAATATGTTCATATTAAATTGATAATAACAGATGATGGGGGCTGGTGATAGTTGTTAGTTGAGTGAGTATGAAATAATGGAAGGATTACCAAATCTCAACTCCTTCCTTTTTTTTCATGGGGGACGAATCCACCATTACTGATCCCATTTCTGCAATGGTTTTATTTGTTTCAAAAACCCTTAATCTCTTGAAATGCTTGAGTACTCAATAGAAAATTCGTGTGTGTCGTAAACTCTGAACATCACACCATTAAAAGAAACAATCATAAATTCATGAATAGTAAAACGGACATGACAAATATAAAAAATAAGAGAGAAAAAGAAAAACCTTCCCATACTCCGTTGTGTCTAAATCAAACAAAAATAATATGCAAGTCAAGGAAACTAATTGATTACTCCCATAGTTAATTAAGCCTTGGGGGAGAGGTTGGTAAAGAAAAATACAAATTCAAAGTTTGTTGGTCCGTGCTTGCAATATAAACAAAGCATCAAATGTAAGTTTTCTTAATAATTTCATGAGATGGGGTTTGATTATCACATAAAAAACGACCCTTTTGTACACATACATCAAAGTTCGTATATGAACTATCATAAAAGAAGAAGAAAAAAATAACGACAGAATCAATTTAAATGTTTGCACGAATGATGATTTTTTTTTTTTGGAACATTTTAATATCAAATATTTCAATTTTTTTATCAAAACAAATATCGTTGGATGTAAATAATTAGTTAATTAACGGTCAATGCATGTAAGTGATGTGATATTTCTACATGTGTTCAGTTATTGACGTGGCACATACCATGACATCACTTTGGGTGATGCTGCATATACTACATCAATAATTAAACACATGTGAAAATATCACATCAGCAACATAAGTTGACCGTTAATCAACAAAACGATTTTTATCTAACAGAATATGTTTTGATCAAAAATTAAAATGTTAGAAATTAAAATGTTTAAAAAAAAGAATAAGAGACAAAGTGATCATTTAGAGAAAACGTTAAGAGTATTATTGACGTTATGCCAAGAAAAAAAAAACACACGAATACTTATCATTTGAGCAAGTAGTTGGTGAAGGTTTCAAACTAACACTTGGGGCGAAGGATCCGATGCACAAAAGACTGATTTGTGATGATTTATATTCCATCATTCTTTGTTTGTAGATCTCTATGTCAACACATTTCCCCCCTTTTTAGGTAGCTTCTTCCTCTTCTTTGTTTTGTCTCTTATCAGCTCCTCGATCCCCTCTCTCAATATTATTCCTCGTTCAGTTCTTAATGTAGGCAGAATTCAGTAGCCAGGTTTCCCTTCTTAGCATGCCGAACTCGGAGCTGATCCTTGTTAAAGACCGGATCGAATTCGATATCCTGAAACGACCGGCATTGGAGTTTCAAGAGGAGTGCCTTGAAGCTAAAGCTATTAATACTTCTTCAAACGATGTTCCTATTAGTGATGGTGAAGAACGACAATTACTGGAAGATGATGAAGAGAAGAAAGGAGAAGAAAGCGAAAAGAAAAATATATCGTTAGGAGAGTTCAAGGCAATGGTCGATGAAGACGATGGATTCAAGACTCCAACGTCTTTGGATTATAAAATCCCAGAGATGAAACAATGTCCACCTGCACCAAGAAAACCAAAGGCAACTAAAAGAAGAGCATCGCCGAGTAGCAGTGGTACTGCAAATGCAAGCACATGCCGGAATCTGCAACTTCATCTTTCACAAGCTGTGGCCTCACTTGTTGATGATTTACACAGCAAGGTCAAGAAAGCTCGAATACATGAAAATTGAAGCTTTTTAGTTTAGTAATCAGTTCGTTAAAAAATCTTTTTTCCATGTAAAATAAGAAATCATATGATACAATATATTCATATTGATTTATATGATTCAAAAGATGGTAACATGCGATACCGTCTCAAAATTCTACTAAAATTTACATTTAAGATAAATTTGTATTAGCATCTCAAAACTATATCAAAAATACAATTAGAGTGGACACTTGTAATTGAGATTATCGTGACTGGCAAAAGCCATGATCGGTCAGAAAAGTGAGCTCTTTTCATTAAAAATCAAGGGTAAATTACATAAACATTCACTGAACTTTTAAAGACGTTCATATATTATAAAATTTTAAAACTTATAATACATTCATTAAATTTTGATTCGCTTTCATTATTGTCATTTTCGTCAATTGTCGCTAAGAAAAACTGACATAACACGTTAGTCTTGTTCCTAAACAAAAATATTTGAAAGTCTTCTTTTAAATTGATAATTATTGGTATCCTATCACTCATATTATCATTAATTGATAATTATTCCAATTAACAACATCATTAAATACAACACTCAATGTACTCAAAATTTCCAACGTCTTCCACAATGATGCATATTACTTTTTATGTAGTTTTTCATGTTTTATATAGTTTAGTTTTATATTATAGTTCGTTTGTTGATATCATCATATTTGTTTGTATGTCTTTTGTTCGATTTTTTAGATGAATTTTAACATTTTCTTTGTATATTCGTTATATGATCTAGAGTGACTAATTTATTAATTATTATGTCGTAATTTTTAATATCTTCTTTTTTAATAAAATTATTCTCTATACGTATAAAAATATATATATAGTTTTGTTACTAGGATGCTTGGGAGGCTAAAGGTAATTAATTGACTTTTATGAGTGTGTTGTACTTGTGCATGATCCTGTTTCTCTGCTCTACAGTTGATGCCATCTTGAGGATAATTATATTCTTTTAAACTAAAAGGTTCTTCGAACAAGCATTTGCTGAGAAACAATTACAAGGGTGATGAAGTAGCTGAGAAACAAGTATTTGCTGCAAAAATCCACAATCAATCAACAAACAAAGGCTAACCTTGAATGATAGAAACCTGAGGAATTGCATAGAAAAAGTGGGGATCTTTTACTTCCATTTCCGACCCATCTTTCAGTTCTTCTCACAGCAGAATCACACAAAATATAAGTGAATTTTGAAGGCTAAATTCTCTATTGCTATAAGGATTATGTAGTAGTGCTATAAATTCTGGGAATTTGAGCAAAATTTAAGCAACATAAAGGAGAAAAAAGTTCAAGAAATTAAACTATTAAGTGTCAAACCAGAGTAGATGCATCTGGCGAACCTTGATGGTGTTCACTATCTCTGTCCGGACCAGAAGGCAAGTACGGTTGTTATTTGGCAGCTTAACAGCAACGGGAGCACGGCAAATTGGGCAATTATCATGGCTGTTAAGCCACAAATCAATGCAAATAGTGTGGAACTAGTGCTTGCATTTAATCAATTGCTTTACTTCTTCCCCATCGGCGAATACCGACAAACAAACGGGACACTCATTCCCAATCTCTTTAGGATGGTTCTCTTTTCGATTCTTGAGAACCGAACCCGGCTCCCTCCTCGTCTCGGTTACTTCAATTGTACTATTTCCGTCATGATATCAAATTGTGGATGTTACGAACGTTATGTAACATGTTTCGGGTGTCACGAGCATGATCTCTTCTTCAAAAATCACAATACGTCTAAAATATTATATTTATATATTTTACAGTTTTTTTAATATACTAATATTAATATACTCTTTTAATATTTTATTTTAAAAATAAAAATTTAATTTCATAGATAAAAATTTATTAAAAACAAATATAAATCATAGAGGTGCTATCGTACTGGATAATGAGTAATAACAATTATAATATTAATGAATAACATATAAACAATATCACTAAAAGCATATCAAATTTTTTATATTGTAACATAAAAATATTCATTTTACATAACTTAGAAAGAAAGAAAAAAACATAACTACAAGTATAAAAAGTTTATATATTACAATTCACCACCAAAATGAATGGCGTGATAGATCTAAAGCATTTTCATCTTCGTCATTGTCTTGGTTTTGATTCCTTTTATTCCATATGAAGAAGACATTGTAGACACCCATTTTTGCCCGGGTCAAAAAATATTATTATTTTATTATTATTATTATTATTAAATATTTTACAAAATTTGCGGGCTTGATCTGGAGCCCAATTACAACAGACAAGCTAACCTACTCGAGGCCCAAATAGAGCCCAATTACAAACATCAAGCCCAACAACCCCATTACCAGCTATTGACCAAGTACTAGGCCCCAACAGCCAACCCGAACCGGCCCAGGGTTCAACCCTGCTCAGTAACCCACAAGAATCCTGATCCGACCCAGCCCCCTAAGGTTTCTAAAACCCTAACCCTAGGGATATGATGTCTGTCGACGTCGCCTGTTCTCCACTGTCAATGTCGATTGCTCCTATCTGCACCAACAGTGACTCAATCAATCAACCGTCCATCAAAATCCCAATAAAAAAATATATGAAATCCAAATCATATCCAAAAAAAATCTATCACCATTATATCACATGCAAGAGCCATTCGGTGAAAAAAAAGAGAGATTGGGAATTTGATAGAACATATAAGATATTGGGGGAGAAAAAAAAAGAAAACCGAGAGAAAATAAAAAAAGAGTGGGAACAAGTTTGAATCAAACAAAAACGTCAAAGGAAAATAAGAGGAAAAGATAGGAGAATCATACCGGAGTTCGAAACAAACGGTGGGGGAAGCTTAAAGGTCGATTTTCAAATTTCTCGAAAGATAAAGGCTAGATCTAGGCTTATAGAGGGGTTTTTGGGCTAAAAGGATTGAATTATGGATTGAGGGTGAGGAGAGGGTTCGTTTTGGGTCAGTTGTCTTTCTCCGGTCGTCGTGCGCTGCCGTACGTATAATCGATCGTCGTGACCTTTCTCCTCCCCGAGGAGAGAGTTGAGAGAGTCTGTTACTCTCTCTCTCTCTTTGTTTTTCGGAGAAAGAAGAGAATTGAGGAATGTTGATGAAAAAGGCTGGGTTTGGGCATAAATACTCACTCGAAAATGGTACCGTTTTGACACACCCATATTCTCCGTGTTTTTTGTTTATATATAATAGTTGTATAGGTGCCTACATCTTTGTAATCTCTTGATTTGGTCATTAAATGAAAAATATTATTCAGTTTAAGGAATGTATTTTTCAATAGTTTCATTTCAGTCACCAGTTTATTTATTATACATTTTATTATATTCATGACATTTGTAATTATTTCATTTAAGTCATTGACCCTGTGTTATGTTTTTTTTAATGTTTGAATCTGGTCATGGAATTTATGAATCTTTCGATTTAGTCACCATGTATCATGAATGCATTTTGGTCTAATTAAATATTTGCCCTTTCAGGTTGTTGTTAAATTTATTTTAGTCCTTAATTACTTGTGGGTTGTTTTTTGTTTTCAATCAATGTTGTTTGTTATTTTTTGTTGAAGCTCTGGTTGCTATGGTAATCATAGTTTAGTCCTTTATGTTTATGTTATTATTATTCTAGTCCCCCATATATGAATATTTTACAAATATTTTACAATATAATGTATTATATTAAGTAAATATTATTCATGATTATTAATGTATGTTGTTTTTTTAATTTAATAATTATTTCCCTCATGTTTCTTTATCTATTAATGATTATTCGAATAATTTCAAGAACACGTATTTGTAGAATGGGCGTGGAAAGTATCAATTGTTCGATGTGGTACAATCTGACACGACGTTCGAACAAAATGGGACTTGAAATAAATATATTTTATTCTATTAATTAAATATTTTTATGTGAATGATTCAATACGATTTTATTAATTTATTTTATTTTATGCAAATGTCAATATTCTTTTTTATTTCGATATGCGTTATTCGAAGATAGAATATTCTTTTACGAATTAAAAATGGTTGAGATAGCCTTCCCGATTAAGGATTGTGAATTTCAAGATTTCTTATCGTGTAAAAGGATTTTCTTTTAAATAATTAATTCAAAATAAATTAATCAATGTTCAATGAATTGATCATATTCTAACTTTATATTTGATTTATATTTTCCACCATTTACTACGATGTGTAAGCGATTGAGTACCAATTTTGGGCGCTGTGGGGGTACTAATCCTTCCCCACGCGTAATTGACTCCCGAACCCATCAAATCAAATTTTTGGTAAACGCAGACCAATTTTTTTCTTAAAAAATGATTTTTCTTAAAAGAGTTTTAAAAGACATTTTAGGTATTCGACCTACCTAACCCAAAGGTCGATGGCGACTCCCTTTACAATTTAATCCAAATCAATTCAAAATCCGTCAATTTTTCAAATAAAAGTCATGATTGTTTTTTAAAATATTATTTAATTGTTTTTTAAAAAAATGGTTATGACAGCTTGGTGACTTTGCTGGGGACTTTTCTTTGAGAGCCAGGCTGTAAGTCACTTACACATTGTCTTTATGGTAGAAATTATGAGTTCGAGCCTATAGTTAGCTTATGATCCATTTATTGAAATTTTAATTTATGTATTTTTATAGTACTAACGTTTTTATTGTATTTTTCAGCTTTGTCAAGTTTTTTTGTTTCCTTTTGAGTCAAAGGTTTGTACACTCCTCCTCACACACATTACATGCATTTGCATGACATAAGCTCTAGACCCGAGCTTTATTCCAAGTAAGTCGGGTGAATGTTGTACTATCGTAAGAATTTATTCTTCGTATGAGTTTTAGCAAATAACCCATGTGACACAAAGGATAAGCATTTATGAACCTTTATCTTTTGTTTTAAATTTTGTTGAATAAGAGCATGCGAACTAGATACCATGCGGTTAGGATTATTTTCTTGAAATTAATCATTGTGGGTAGAAAGCATGTTTGGGTAGGATTACTATCTAATAAAAGCATGCTCGGGTAGG